GTACGATTTCTTCGCGCCTGCAGTCGTTGCCACGTGGCGAGTGGAGTGGCATAGTATTATTTTCCGCCCCCGCGGCGTTACCGCGCGACGAAATTATTGGAATAGCTTGTTGTGTCGGCCCCCGCGGCGCTGCCACGTGACAAGTAAAATTAATAGAATACTGTTTCTTCGCGCCTCCAGGTTGCCATGTGGCAAGTGGAGTGCGCGTGTATGTTGGTTCGGTACCAAGCGGCATTGCCACGTGACGAACGCTGTGGAACAATATTAGGACAGGAAGAATATATTGACACAACGTGCTATTGATACGTTCCGGAAATTCCGGGATTTCTAACAGCCTTCGCGCGGGGTACACCTGGCGTCGAGGTTTGTCTACTCTGGCTGGCGCCGCTGGTCAGTCAGCCATTCGCAATCGAGTGGTCGCCCGTAAAGGGCTATTTGGCAATTGCTGACCCCCCCCTCTCGTTGCCGAGCGCGGAGGGGACGGTAGCGCACCGCCCCGTCGCCCGCCGCCGCGCACCGCGCGCCTCGGCGGATTCCCAAAGACCTGGCAAGGCAAAGCATGCTCGACTCTGGAAAATTCCCCGGGGGTAAAATTGAACAAATCTGGGAACATGTTTGAACATGTCCGGCCTACTTTTTGAAATTTTCCGGAATCGTTTTTGAAAACTTCCGGGATCGGTCTTGAAAAATGCCGGAATCCATTTTGAAAATTTCCGGATTTCGGAACTCTTCAGATGTCCTGCGCGGCGGGCGCATTCCACCCCTCAAAACTGTTGTTTTGAAAATTTCTGGGCTTCTTTTTGAAAAATTCCGGAACCGCTTGCGCGGAAAAAAGCGGAAGCGTTTTCTGACACACTCTACAATCCAGAAATAATGTCCGGGCGGTCCGACGGGCGCGGCCGGCTGATTCACGCGCCGCGCCGCGCGCGATTGGGCGCAGCGCGCGCCGCTACCTCGAAAACAGCGCCACGGCAGCTGCGACTCGCGGACTCCCCAAAAGCAACACAGCATGCAGCTTGGAATCTTCGAAGGCGCTCCGGTGCGCGAAAAACGCACCGCGAACATCACGCAAAAAACCTGCGCGACGGAATGCGCTCGACCATTCGTTCCTGGAGCCCCCGCGGAAGAACAGGAAAACCTGGAAATCTGGAAAACTAACAATTTCAATACTTCATGCTCCTCTGAAATATGTTCGTTCGCCCTCCCAGGCGGTACCGCGCGGCGAATTGAGTGGAATACATTGTTCTGCCCCCGCGGCGCTGCGACGGGACGAATAGAGCGGTATAGTATTTTGTCGCCTGCCAAGGCGTTGCCACGTGGCGAGTGGAGTGGGAAGTATGTTTTTTCGGCCCCGTGGCGCTGCCACGTGACGAGGCACACATTGCGTTTCAGCGCATTGCATTGCAGTGCATTGCATTGCGTCGCGTTGTACTGTATTGCATTGCGTAGCGTTGCATTGCATTGCGTTGCGCTGCGTTGCGTTGCATTGCGCTGCGTTTCGTTACATTGCACCCTGTTGCATTGCTTTGTACTGCGTTGCATTTGCATTGCAGTTGCAATGCATTGCATTGCAGTAAATTGCGGGCGTGGGGGTGAAGGAGAAGGAAGACCAAGGATGGAGCAGAACGGAGGAAAGTTCGAGGATCTTCTGACCCGGGTCAATCCAGACCTGGGTCAGCAGGAAATCAAAAAACTGCAATGCAGGAAACAAAAACTGCAACGCAGGTCTGTAGGATCAAGAATTCAAAAACCTCCTTCGGGCGAAGAATAATAAATTTTTCGGCGCCCCGAGATCGCCAGCGACCCTCGCGACCCTGGGGCGAAGAACAACGGCAAAAGTCAACGAATCGGCAAAAGTCAAGGTCATCGGCACAGATGGTCATGTATACATGCGCAAAAAATTAAAGAACCGGCACCGGATACAAACTAAATTCCGACGTTCCGTCCTGGGGCCCGGGGGGAGCTCCGCTTGGAGGCCAAAATGTCAACGAACCGATACCGGATACAAATCAACTTCCGACGTTCCGCCCCGGGGCCTGGGGAGGCCTCGGGAGGCCAAGGGGGGCCCGGAGGCCAAAAATTCAACGAATCGATACCGTATACAAATAAACTTCCAACGTTCCTTCCAGGGCCCGGGGAGGCCTCTCGGACGGTCGACTACCGACGGCAGACGACGACGACGACGACGACAGCGACGGCCGATGGCCAACGACGACGACCGACGACCGACGAACGACTACGACGACGACCGACGACGGCGACGAAACCCTTGGGGCGAAGAATAATAAATGTTTCCCGCTGGGGGCGCTATTCCCCCCCCCGGGAGAGGTCAGGGGGGGGGGGGGGGAGTCCCCGTTTTTTAATTCCGGACCCTTACGCGCGGCCGCCTCGCGGCCACGAGCGGCTCGCTAACCCGGGCCAGCCAGAGGGGGTCATCGCAGGATCCTGCAGGATCTGGTGCCCTGGCTGACCCCCGTTTGCATCGACCCCCATCTCAAGGCTCCCGAGAAGTACAAAATGAAATTAAACCGGGCGAATCAAACCGGATGAATTCAAACCGGACGAATTTAAGCCGCATGAATTTGCACTGGACGAATTAAAACCACATGAAATTTAACGGACGACTTGAACCGGATGAATTTAAACCGGACAAATTGAAACCGGATGAATTTAAACCAAACGAACTTAAACCGGATGAATTGAAACCGGACGAATAAAAACCGGACGAATCTAAACCGGATGAATTTAAACCGGACAAATTCCAACTCGGCGAGTTTTATGTTGATCAAATAGACAGGGCGAGCGAAACAAAGCCACATCCCAACTGGATGAATTTAAACCGGACGAATTAAAACCGGATGAAGAAAAACCAAGGAAAATAAAACATGATGAATTAAAACCCGGGCGAATTTAAACAGGATGAAATTAAACCGGATGAAATAAAACGGGTGGAATTAAACGGATGGCATTACATTCGGATGAAACAGGAGTGAATCGGGGGAGCAGGGGGGTCCCAAGAGGTGATCCTGAGGAATGATCCTGGGTCAGAATACCACCCTCCCGGGGCCCTTGGCCCGCCCTCTCCCTCCCATTTCCGTCGAGGGCCGAGGCCTCCAGGGTTGGCGGCACCGGCCGTAAGGCCTTAGCAATCACCTACTATACTTGGGTTTTTGAAGGTGTTTGGCTTTCTCGCCTTTTCGGATTCCCGACGCTCCCAAACGGCCCTAAAGGCCCCCAAGATCGCCGCAAGACGGCCCAAGAGGCCCCGAAGACTGCTCTAAGAGGGCGCCAAGATTGGGGACCCGAACGAACATTTCGAGCCCTCGGTCCCGAGGGGCCCCCAGGAAGCCCAAAGAAGCCCCCACGAGGCCCCCAAGAGACCCGCAGAGGCCCGCAAGAGGCCCCAAGAGGCCCCAAAGAAGCCCGCAAGAGGCTCCTAAGAGACCCTAAAAATGCCCCCCAAAGGCCTTCGAGAGCGCTCCGAAGAGACCCCAAGAAGCATCCCTGAGAACTCTGACCCACAAATGTATACGCACAAACATACATACATGTATAGATGTACGTTTCCATCATACATGCATGCATGCATACATGCATGCATGCATACATACACACATTACATACATGCATGCATGCATGCATACATTCATACATGTATACATGCATACATACATGCATACTGATGTGCGTACATGCATACATGCATACATGCATAAATACATGTATACATGCATACATGCATGCATGCATAGATACAGACATTCAGACATACAGACATACATGCATACATGTATACATGCATACATGCATGCATGCACACGTACCTGTAGACCTAGAGACATACAGACAGACAGGCAAACATACAGACATACGGGCATACCGGCATGCAGACGTTCACTCATACGTACATGCATGCATACGTACATGCATGCATACAAGCATGCAAAAGTACATCCATACATACATTCCAGTACATTACATCACAGTCTATTACAGTACAGTACATTACATTACAGTACATTGCATTACATGCCATTGCATGATATTACAACACATTACACTCAAACTTACACGTACACATACAGTACATTTACAGTTACATGTACCTGTTACGTTACATTACATTACATTCATATTCCACTACACTACATTACATTACGCTGTGTCACATTGCATTGCATACAAATATACATGCATGCATACATACATACAGCGTACATACATGCATGCATGAGTGTCTGCATACTTGAGCACATGCAGACAGACAAGCAGACAGGCAGGCTGAGAGACAGACAGACAGACAGATATGTGTGTGCGCATCGAGGAATGGAGAGCAGAGCAAGTTCAAAGAGGAAGTACATGGTGGAAAGAGAGAGAGAGAGAAGGGGAGAGAGAAAGAGAGAGAGGAAAAACAAAAAAAAAGATAACTAGAGAGAGAAAAAAACAGATATAGAAACAGAGAGGGAGACAAGGAGGGGAGGGAGGGAGGAGGCCGACGCCGACGCCGACGCCACCGACGCCGCCGCCGCCGCTGCCGCCGCCGGGTGCCGCCAAGAAGTCCGGCCGAAGGCCGCCGCTATGATTTTGTCAACCAGCGACCCCAGAGGTCCTGACGATCTCCCCGACGCCAGCTTTTCGCCCTGGGTCCATACTTGACGGCTCTGGAGCTCGGCGACGGGCCCCCGAGACCCAAATCCACGGAAAAACGCCGGGATGCCGAGTAGGGGATCGGCTACAGAATTGGTTCACCCCAGAAATGATGTTCTCGTCTTTTCTCGTCGAATGTATGAAAAGTGCGTAGAATGTTCGTAGACAAATCCACATATTTTGTAGATTCGGCAAGGACATAAATTCAGGGGTAAATCATTCAATTGTAATCGATCCCCTACTCGGATTGAATCATCAGACCGCCACGGCCGAGGGCCGCCGAGGGCCACAGGGGGCCGCCGATCGCCGCGGCGGTGGCGGGCGGCCAGCGGCGCTCGGAGGAGCGGGGGCGCCCCTGCTGCGAGTGCTGCTGCTGGCGCGGCTGCGGCCGGAAGGCGAAGCGCTCGGCAACCGGGCGGTGGACGCGCTCCTCCGCGCCGACGTCGTCGTCGTCGTCGGCGGCGACGGCGGCGGCAGCGGCAGCGTCGTCGTCATCGTCGGCGTCGTCGTCGTCTGCGGCGTCGTCGGCGTCGTTTTCGGCTCTGGCGTCGCGGCGAGAATCCATGTCCTCGCCGTCGTCGGGGTCGACGTCGAAAATCGAGGTCGTCGCCAGGAGAGGGTGCCAAGAGGCCCCCAGGATGCCCCCAAGAGGACAAAATGATTGTTGAATTCAAGTGGTTGTGGCAAAAACTTTGTTTCGTTCTTCAAAGCGTTCCAGAAAAGCCACGAGGCCCCCCAAATCGCCCCAAACATCCAAAACAGTGTCCCGAGAAAGCCTCAAGAGGGACCTAAGACGTCCCAGAGGGGACCAACACAACCAAAAAGGCCCCGATATGGCCCAACACGGCCCCAATAAGAATCTCAACATGGGCGCCGCTGAAGAAAATTACCAAAGTACGTAAACTCATGATGCCACCAGTCGCCACGCCTTGCGGCCCCATTGAATAGAAGAGACGTAGATGAATGAAGGGGAGGATAAGGACGAGGGCACCAAGAGCAGCACTCGGATGGGGGCGCCGGATCAGGTCACGACGGAGCGCAGCCCGTGCCGTGGCGCGGAGCCCTGCCAGCTGCCTCTGTCGCGTAGCTACCTGCGCGGTCACAGCGGGAACCCTTTCTTTCCCGCTGACGCGCAGCTCGTTAAAACATGAAAGCATTAAATCACAGGCAGAGGGGACGCTAAAAAGTTGCTTCGGGCGGGAAATGAAGCACCGAGACAGCACGGCACGAGGCGGAGACAGAGGAGGCACTGGCGGGACCTGAGAAGAAGGGCTGACAGAAGAGGGCAGGGAAGATTGGTATCTGGAAGGCACAACTGAACTACAAAAGCAAAGCGGCAGACTGCAGGTGAGGGAGGGGGGAGGGGGAGAAGGGAGAGGAGGAAAGGGGAAACGTGGTAGCAACAAGATGCGAAGTCATGTGCACGCACATACGTTTCTGGGCTCGCAAGCTACTCTCTGTAGTCGTTCTCGCCGTTTTGATACGCGGCGGAACTCGCGCCACGACGTCGCGCCCCAGTCGTTGTTTGGCCGAACCTTCTCCTTGGGATATGTAGCACCGCGAGCAGCCAATGCGCAGAAGCTGGTGTTTGAGTAGCTGGACGCTGTTCTGGGAATGGCCACTGACCTCAAGAACACACAGATTCGAAACACGCGACAAGTAAACTGGAGTAGTGTTAGCGATCAGTCCCTGGTACATTGCTCGAAGGTCATCGAAACGCCATTGCTCCGACTCACTGGGCCGCGCAGAGCCAAAATATCACAACCTGTTGTTTGCCATCGTGGCTGGAAATCTTTCGAGTTTCCTGCGTCTGTTGATACACGTGAGCTCCCATGCCCGTTCAAAGTTTGGCAACTCCCCCCAAGCGGCCCCGATGCGACGGTGGACTTCGCCTCGCTCCTGCAGCAACACAAAGAATCGAAAGCGTGTGGATCTACATCTGCGGTCTTCGAGTCAACCGTGCGCACAGCCATGTGGTAAAGTCGCCTGGATTGCACTTCTCTCTTGTCGCTCACCACCAGCAAGTACATAGCTTAGCCATAACGACAAATAGGGCAGCAAGGGGTACCCCTGCGAAATGACGGACAAATGTCGCTTCTCCTGAAACTGGTGCAGCATGTTCGTAGAGCTTCGCCCAGCGCATCAACGTTGCTAGAGCCGAATGCCATTTTGTTCGAATCGAGGGAGGCCATAACGATGGGCCAATACTTCTCTGCGCTCGCACGAAATATGAATCTCCTGAATCTCCTGACGGCGTGACTGGCATACTTTGGTTTCGCTGGAAACCGACTGGCGTGCGCGGGGGGCGGTCGCCAACGCCGGCAGCCCACAGCCTTCAGAATCCCTTGCAAAAAATACGACGAAGTGCACACGCGCGCGTCCTAGCGCGCATACCGGAATCCTTCAAATCATTTGGTTTCGTCAGGATTTCAAAATCGAATGTCCCAAAGAACATATAATAACACAGGGTTTCGCGACACGGGTTTTCAACAAGAGACCCCCAATTAGCCTGCGACCGCTCAGGACCACAAAGCCGAAGCATGGCCACAGAAACGTGGACCAAGCAGAGGAGGAGGAGGAGGAGGAGGAGGACAAGGAGGAGGAGGACAAGGAGGAGGAGGACAAGGAGGAGCAGGAGGAGGAGGAGGAGGAGGAGGAGCCCCTCCGCCGAGGACCCGAGACCCGAGGCCACATGGAGACACGCACCACAAGTAGCATTCCAGACTGGAGAGCCCCAGACATGAAGAGATCAAATGGGTGCCCCTGCTGGGCGGCCGCGTGTGAACCCCCCCACCCCCCACGAGTTCTAAGGGGAGGTGGGGGCTCACTCAGCTCGGGACCTCCCGAACGAAAGGAACCCCCACCCCCTTAGAAATCCTGGGGCGTGGGGGTAGGGTTCACATGTGGACACCGACCTACAGCCTCGGGCAGGCGGCGGGTGACGAGGAGGCCGCACGCAAGACTCCCGGACCACCCCGCTGGTACGTCCCGGCGGCGCGACAAGAGGGGCGGAGCAGCGGGGGAAGGCGCCTCTCGGGCGGGGCCTCTGGCGCCTGTCCCTCTCCGGGGGGGGGGGGGGGCAGAGACTCGAGCGAGACAGGAGCAGCGGCGTGCTTCGCGCCCGCTGGGGGCGCTTCGGGCCGAGATGCCCACGGCCCGGCCCCAGACCTCCAGCGGACTGATTCGCTCGATCCCAGGTTCGGCCTCTACGGCCCTCGTGCCACCACAGTTTTCGGTCGCAGCGCGGCCGAGGCAGTCCACACGCGCGCTCAGCAAGCCACGAAAATCGGCATTGCGAATTGCCCGGATGCACGAGGGAGGCAAGAGGAGAAAGAGGAGCGGCCACGAGAGGGGGGAGAGGGAGCGGCCCGAACGGGATGCCCCCAGGGGAAGGGGTCAGGACCTCAGTGGGGCCCGCGGATTGGCAAGGTCACGACGTCGGATGCCCAGGACATCGAACTTCGGACGAACATCGAGAGACCAGAGGCGGAACGGAGAGATGCAGTATACAATGGGGGGGGCAACAAAAACAACCCAACCACCTTGCAGGCCTGATGTGGCCGAACCAACGTGGCGGCGCGCAGAATGGGGTGCCGCGAAGGGGACGCCTTCTAAGACGGCGGGGTGCCTCTTCGAAAGACTCGGAGGCCTCTGAGAAGGCATCTCGGAAGGCGGGAGGCCTTCCAAAAGGCCACCTGCCTTCTCAGATGGCCGCCCCCCCTCGCCCCCTTTGCGCAGCCCCCGACCACACTCCTCTCGCAGCGTGGGTCGCCAAACACTTCTAGGGGTCCACCCCGGCAAGCTTCTCAGGCCGCGTCCGGACGTGGTCACGAGGACGTTGCAGAAGGCCCAAAAGGGCGAAGCGAAACAAAATCCCAGCGGACGAACCTCAGTGAAGGTCGCCCCCATCCCCCCTGAGGCCTCCAGAGGTGTATCTGGAGGCCGCCGAGGCTGCCCAGAGGCGCCCAGCGGCGGCCCCACGGAAGCTCCTGGACGCCCTCCTGAGACCACCAGACGGCCCGAGAAGGACCAGCGGCATCCTCCAAAACCTCGATCCTCACGAGGCCGAGCCGACGCCTGCTTGATTCCAACCTGCCCGAGCCGGCGCCACCTGGCCTAGCCCAACCGATCCTGACGTGCCTGGCCGATCCTGGCGGGGCCGAGACGATCCCAGCCACCCTCGAGCGTGCCCGACCCCAACGCGTCCAGGGGCGCGACCCTCGACCCTCGGACCTCGGACCTCGCACCTCCGAGCCCGCATCCTCGGACCTCGGCCCTGGCCGGCTCCGACCTCGGACCCCGATCCTGGCGGACCCTGAGCCTGGCTGCTCCCGGCGCGGCCGAACCGACGCCGCGCCTGCCCGGGTCCAGGGACTGCATGGAGCCCGCGGGCGGCTTCATCCTCCGGAGGTGGCCTGGCCGCCGGCGGGCCGAGGGCGAGCGGAGGGCAGGAGCCCAGGCAGCCGACACCTCGAGCAGAACCGGGGCGGTCGGTCTGTCGCCACACTCGGCCTCTGGAGGCCAGCTTCGGGCCTCGGGGCCGCCCACCACGGACCCCGGGCGGAGAAGAGGTCCCCGGGAGGCGGTCGAGGAGCGACCCGCCCGCGGTATCAGAGGGAGCCTCCACCTTCTCTCTCGTCCCTCCTCTTCAGACGAAGCCAGGACGAGGAAAGTATCAGGTGAGGTTAAATCGGGAGCCTCCCAGATCCGGCGGCTCTGGGGGACGTCTCGAGCGCCGCGGCCATCTCAGAACGTGAGAGCGTTCTGGTAGCTCTGTAACGAATTTCGTCCTAGCCCCACCCGACCTAGTCCTCCACACCGTCTCCCCTGCATTTCTCTTCCTCCTCCTGCTCCTACTCCCACTCCTCCTCCTCCTCCTGCTCCTCCTCCTCCTCCTCAAGCAGATCGACGAGATCAGCGGAGCGTACACCAAGTAGTCAAAAAACTTCAAGGCGTTCGGCTACGACACGGTCGACTGCCTCCAGACCAGCCAAGAGTCGGGACAGACCACAGGCTTCAAGCAGAGGGCTCGGTGTACAAGGGTGGGACAACAAGCACCACACGATCCAGGAGGCCACTACTCCAGCCCCGACGCCAGCGGTATCGGGGGACATCAGGACCTACGATTGTGCAGCTGCGGCGGCGGCAGGCTGGGGGCTCGGTCTGGACCTAGACTGATAGGAGGCAGCCTAGAGGAGCGACAATGATGAGCACAGCAGTGAGTCAGAGCGAGACATAGTGAGAAGCCCAGCCGTTCGTGCGCATCGGTCAGTGCGACGTTGCAGTCCATATTTCTCACGTTGCGCGCTGCTTGCGGCTGGGCGATGAGCAAGTGCAAGGCCGCCCCTTCTTTCTTTTTCTGTGTCTCCCATGCCTACAGCTCTCTCTGAGGGAGGAGGGGGAGGAGGGTGGATGAGGACCTCAGCGCCAGCCGCCCGCCTTGGAGTTGCCAGGGCAGCGGCGGATGCCTGTCAAGCCAGACCAGTGGTACGAACGGGCAGGGTTCCCTGCATCGGGGCACCTGCGCCCCGCCACCGAGGCGGGCGCAAGCCCGCCCTAGCCGGCCTCTCGGGTCAACCGACCTCGCAGTTGGGCATTGCCTCCATTTATATCCCAGGGACCCTCCCGAGTCTCACAAGAGGCTGGAGACCATGGACCACCAACGGCCTTATCCTCCTCCTTAGCCCCTCCTCCTCCTCCTCTTCCTTTCCTGTTCCTTATCGAATAACTCCTCCATGTCGCATCCCAAGGTCGGTCGAAAGGGCGGGCCGGGAGTGACGCCTGAGACTTCCTCACCGTGTATGATCCTGAAGATTGAAAATTATAATACTTTCACGGGTCGAGGGCGGGTCGTTCTCAACATGTAGCTGCCGCCCTAACGCCGCGCACATTCGTCTCAAACATTTGCAACCGTTTCACGGGATGGAAGGCGGGTTCTTCTCAACATGTGGCTCTCGCCCTAGTGCCGAACACGTTCGTTGTAAGAATATACAACACTCTCACGGATGGAGGGCGATTCCTTTTGAAAATGTGGCTCTCGCGTTAGCTCCGCGCACACTCGGTTGAAGAGTTCCCACTAGGTTCTAGGGCTCTCATACTCCACATGCCAAAATCGGTGTTTTGGCACGATGTCGGACTGTCAAGAGCACTTGTCGAATACAAGTCCTCGCTAGTAACGCATCGTCAGAGGATAACGCGAAAGGCTCTGGCCTCATCTTTGACTCGAAGTCGATCGACGAGAGCAGACATGCGTCGATCGCGAGAGGGGGCCGCCCCAGAGGCTTCAAAAGCAGCATCACTGGAGGCCCTCGGAGTCGCGAGGCCTCACCCTGGACGTCGGAACCGCCTGATCCAGCAGGGCCTGCACACGACGACAACCGCCCCACCGACACCAACGCCCGCAGCCCTGGGCATGGAGCCGGTATGCATACAAGCCTGGCCCGCAGGACCAAGAGCGACTGTGCTGCAACCCCTGCCTGGGCCCACGCGGCCCGTCAGACATCCTACAACCCACCAACTCATCATGCGCCGAGCGGCTGACGACCCAGCGCCACCAGCACCAGTGCTGGCCCCACCAACTCATCATGCGCCGAGCGGCTGACGACCCAGCGCCACCAGCACCAGTGCTGGCCCAACAAGATGGCCTGGTAGCAGCTGGGCTGCTGCTGGGCAGCTTTAGGGCCGTGCTGCCCCTCCATAGGCAGCACGACCTAGTTCAGCGGACTGAGGCTAGGATAACAGTGGAGATGAATCGTGAACACCAAGGACTTCCTCTGGCGAGGTATGCGTGGCCGATGGCCTTGTTCTGCTGGATCGTTCAACACATCCAGCCACTAAACCTGGACCGGGACCATTTACGACCAGGTCATGCGAGAAGTCGGGATTTGGGAGGCCGCACAGGAGGCTGAAACCGTTTGCTCAATGGTTACGCCCTTCCCCTGATCCAGCGCACACGGCCCACAACCCTTCCCTGCACGTACCTGGGGCGCGTGGCTTGGACGACGAGGCGCGCAACTCACACAGAGGGACTTGATTTTGCTAAGGACGTGGTCGTTGCACGTACCAGAATCTTGCGTGACCAGGCACGGACTCAGGCCCAGCCACCGAGAGCCACGCGAGGACCCAGAATGCGGCGCAGAAGACTGGATCCTACCGACACCGCTCATGTGCCAGCCATGCCAGCGCTGGGGACGCCCAGTTCACACACCAGCAGCACACCTGCTGCAGCTAGCCCAGAGGAGCGCGCAGCAGTGCGATGGCACGGGCACCGCGAAGACAAGGTCCAACGACGCATGCCCAATGGACGTGGACCGCGTGCAGGACCGCACAGAGACGCACGCTGGCGCCCAGGACCGCACGAACCGCACGACCCCAGAGCCCGACGCCGCCCAGGCACCGAACAGCAAACGAGCAGAACCTGGCAGGGGCAAGAATGCGGACGCCCCAAGGGTGCAATATGGCCAGCACGGGACCGGCCTACCAAGAACCACGCATACCCGCCCGGGGGTCGGAGGGAGCAACGGCAGCACCGCCGCGCATGCACCCCTGGCATCGAACCAAGACGCCGACCGCTCCGGCCCATGCGCCGAGGAACGCATAGGCAGTCTGGGCGCAGACATACAAACCCTGCACCTACACGGACGACGCCGCCACCCAGATCGCCATAGCACGCGCCCGCAGCCTGGGCCACGACCAGGGGCGAGAACCCATCTGCCGCACGCTACAAGACACGATTCGGGGCATGCGTAAACAAGCGGCGCTGCTAATCAACGCAAGACCGCGGGGCGTAAACGAGCCCCTAGTCCGTGGCCTGATCCCACGTGGCGCTGGAGGGGGAGATGCTGGATGCGTCGGGAACGAATTGGATCGACGCGACCCGTGTCACAGGCGCCCTCGCATGCGGTCCTGGTGAGGGCGCCCCCGCTGGCCCTGGAAGTGGCTGCATGCGGCTGGACGCTCAAGGGAGACAAATTCTGCCCCCGCCATGGTCGGTCAGCAGGATGCCAGAAGGAGCTGACCCAGACGACCCACTTCTACGCCGTGTGCGCATCATACCTGCATCAAAATAACGGCGCAGCACGAGGCCACTGCCGCACGGCACGTCTCCTGGAGAGAGCTACAGACACGTTGGAGGGTCTCACCCAGATGGTCAGGCAACAAGGGCCAGGAGTGCTGGACGATGCACTCTGGGCAACGCAATGCGCGCTGGAAGTGAGCGGGCACTCTCGGACTGAGCTTCCTGGAATCGGCGCTGGCAGCGTGATGGCCAAAGCGTGCGAGCGGGCGGGCACGGAATTAATTTCGCGGAAAAAGTGGTGGCCATGCGATGTGCACTATAACGAGCAGACACGTTCGGAAATAGTTTCCTTCCCAAGGCGCTGGCAATGCGATGCGCGGTGCCCGCGAGCCGGCACGTTTGCAGTGCACTTCCTGGCCTCAGCGCTGACAGCGCGATGACCATCGGATGCGAGCGAGCACGCCTGGCGTGACCGAGCCCGCAACATCCTCAGCGGAAAGGCCGGCACCATAAGCAGCGCAGGCTCGGGAAGGCTTCCTGACGACCATGCTGGCGGTGCCGACGAAAAGGACGACAGCGGGGACGACGGCCACGCACCGCGCCCGCCCCGGCGGCGGGCTCGGCCCGCACCTGGTTTTCCAGGACGAACTGGGGGGAACGAGGAGAAGCGGGAGGAGGAAGAGGAGGAGGAGGAGGAAGAGAAACGAAAGCGGGAAGAGCGGCCTACAGCCACAGCCGCGCCTGCGGCCCAAGATGGAGCGCAGGGCCGAAGGCGCCGTCGGCTCTGGCGTCGCGGATAAGCACAGAATCCCGGAGCCCATTGTTCCGAGGATGTCTCACGCGGAGCCTCCTCCTCCTCCTCCCCCACCTCCTCCTCCTCCTCCTCCTCCTCCTCCTCCTCCTCCTCCTCCTCCTGCTCCTCCTCCTCCTCCTCCTCCTCCTCCTCCTCCTCCTCCTCCTCCTCCTCCTCCTCCTCCTCCTCCCCCTCCTTCCCCCTCTCCTTCCCCCCCATTGAATTGGCTCAATCCTACCGTGGGCAGGTGGCGCCTGCTCCCATCTTTTAGCCTACCGTAGGCAGGTGGCGCCTGCACTCTCTTTCTCACCATTCCGCCCTCCCGCAGGCGCCAGGCGCCTGCTGCTCGCCTTCTGCGGCTGGGTTTGCTCGTGCTGGGCAGCGCCGTCGTCGCGGAACCATGGCGAAGAGGGGCGCAAAAGGACGTCCACAGGTCAGGCAGCAGCGCGAGTACTTCGTCTGCGCCAACCCGAAGTGCGGTGGCTGGGGCTACTGCGACATTTCTCAGTTATGTGGACAGTGCGGGAAGAAGTTTCAAGGTCATGGCAAGGGACGTGGAGATGACAGGGGGATCTTCGCAGACAGTGCCAGCAGGTGCCAATCGT